TCATTTGAACGTTCGTTTCTTTTCAGCTCTTTATGATGCCCATCTTTCTAATTCAGCCAATTGATCATTCTTTGCTTTATTAGATGATACACTTGCTGGTTGACTATAAGCTGGAATAGGATGAGCTGGAACTGATGGTAAATCAACTCGAGTCATTTGATTTGAAAGTGCTTCTTGTTCTAATTGTGCCAATTCCTCTTCGAGTTCACGTTCATCTATATCAGCGCCAAAACCTAAAAAACAAATATAAATTAAATAAAGAAAAAAAACCTTGAATAATATGTTCATACCAACAGGACTTGAAATAGCATTAGCAATTTCATTCGATAATTCATGTTGTTCAGCTAATTCATCCATTATATCTTGAACACTATCAACATCAAGTTCTTTATGAACATTTTTTAATGCACTTGTTGCACTTTGAAGTGCAGTAAATGCTTGACCATTCATAGCTGCATTCTAAAATTCAATTAAAATTATTAAACCCAAAAAATAAACAAACATTCTCTTAAACAAATAAAATTTTACTTGTAAAGCTTCGCGTTGATATTCAAGTGTTGTTAATGTTCCATCAATTTGTTGTAAAGTTTTTTCTAAACGTTTTTTTCTTTTCAAAGCATTTAATGCATTACGTTTATTTGTTCTTGCATCACGACGAGCAATTGTTGTTTCTTCATTAATTCTTGATTCTAAGTGTTCAACTTTTTTATTAAGAACATCTTCAACATCACGTAACTGTTGTATTGCTTCTTGTGGAGTTTGTGGTGTTTTCATTTTAGCACCACCTTTTGATGAACCGCCAAACATACGGGATAAAACACCACCTTTGTTATTACCACTCATTGCAAATATATATATATGTCAAACTATAGATGTTTAGGATGTTTTGTAAATAAGTGATATAGAAATTTCGAAGAATGAGTTATGCGATAAACAACAGCAAATGAGTTTATATGTAGATGAGTTATGAATTTATCATCTGAATTATTCTCTCACCATGACTAATTATTCTTTTTTTTTATTCGATGAAAGTTTTCTTTTAAAAACAATTATATTAAAATAGATGTCGCATGAATACGAATAGATATATTGTTGAATGGGTAATTAAACAGTTTAGTATCAGTTATAAAAAAAAAAATCATACTGTCAGACATGAATTATGTCAAGGGATATGGTCGCGGAGGTGCTCATCCACTACCACTTTTAGAAAATTTCCAGCTTTTTCAAGTCAAAATCATATTTTTTTATTAAAGAAGAAAATCGTACAATGAAAAAACGAAAGTTCAGCAGCCCTACTTTTAAAAAACAGTACATAAACCTTTCCAGCTCTCAAAAATTTTTTTTGCACGTCCCCCAAATACTATTTTCTCTTCGCTGTCACATCCCTGACTACGCTAACAGCCAGTCATCATATGCTATAAACCCATATGACATCATACATTCATATGAAGATAATGTTTACGATAAACATAAATGCTTCTCGACTACGCCTATGATACACGATTGCATATGATAGTGAGTTCATCGTGAGTTGAGTTGCGCTTACCAACCACTTGGTTTTTTCATTTTGAATTCAGTAAAGAATTCAACAGTAATTATTTCTTTCAAATAAAGAAATAATGTTTTACGTGTTTCTAGGCGAACGAAAAGAAAAAGTGCCCCTCGCTACGTTTTGCATGAGAAGAACGTGTGACTGTTGATGTACTTTGAGAGCAGAGCTACAAGTTTCGATGCATTATGGAAATTCGTGTTTTCGAACGTCAGACCACCTCTTGAAAAACCTTAATGTTTTCTCTTCTGATGTAGAATTTAATTCTGAACAACAAAAATCTGTAGATCATTTCGAATCGATAATGAACAATGGCATAGATCTATGAAAAAAGAGTTCTTTGGGATGCTTTTTGGAATTTTGACTTGAAGAATACTACTCTCAAATGTTTCTTCCAAAAGTTTGAGTCATACATAAATAAGTGCAACATTTTATGGTGAATCTTGTGACATATTTTAAATTTCAGTAGAAATATTATCAATTTTTTTAGAATCACTCTTATCAGTCTCTTACCATTGCAGTTGACTGATTGAATAGCGGTCACGCTTTTCAATTTTTTTCCGATAAGAAAATCTTATCTAAAGAGCCAACGGGGCAATTTTTTAGAACGAAAAATTTTCGATCAAATCAAGTTAGAATGGAATCTTTGAACTACGTTTTAGATCTTCAAAAAAGAAAAACAAAAGTGCTCCATTCTTGATAGATTACTCGTTATATATTTATATATTCAACACAAGGATGTAGATAAATGAACAAGAAAAGAAACAGAACAAAACAGAAGATAAAATCGACGTCATCACGTGCCAATGGACATGGCACATACAGAAACATGTTTTCGTTACAAACTGGATTTTTTTTCAACAATTACACGAACAAAAAAGTCTTCATAGTGGATGAAAGGTACAATCCTTCAAAATTTTCAGTTTTTTTGAAGACAAATCCATATTGAATGGAACGATTTCAACGTGATCATGGAGACGAATGCTGTCTCTTTAACTGCACGTTTTCTAGATGGTAGCAATAGAGCTTCTAGTTTGGCAGACTTTAAACTACAGCCACGTTCTGTCCTATGGGCTAAAAATACGACTTCCAAGTCTACGCTAATGATGTTCTGGATACCCTATATCTTCTTTGTACTACTGCTTTCGATTGCACAAATAGAGGCATGAAAGGCAAATAAATGTCAGGAAGTTCAAAGTTCTTCGTTTCATTCATACAGTCTCTATTGACCGAATATGAAGTTATACTGGATAAAACTACTCATATGGCTTCTATTCTCTTTCAAACAGGAATGACAATGGAATTTCTCGTTTTGAAATGAATTTATTTGTCAATAGTGTAATGAATATCGTGCTCTCAATTGAATAGAATTTACATCTTGAAACTTTCTTCTTTTAACAGAGTATGAAAACTTAGAATATCAGTAATTTATAGTGCAAGAGAAATACTATTTTGTCGATATCGTCTTATGGTGACTTTAATGAATGATAAGATTCCTCATCAGAGTTTAACAAAACTGTTTTATCAATTCACGACAGTCATTAGTATTGTCGTAGCGTCCCAAACTTTGATAAAACAAGAACCAGTCTATATTATTTCAACATTTGGTCTTCGATCAAGGTCAAACACTTTACAGTAAGATCATAAATGCTCTTGCAACGATGTTTTCAGCGTAGAAGAAGAAATCTCTATTGTCTTTTTGTTGTCTTCTTGAAAACTATACTGAGATAAAAATATAATTCCTAAAATAATGCTTAGTGATGAAGAAGCAAAGCTAAACACGAGTTTACCGACGAGTCAAATAATGAGTCTAGTGCTATTCTATCAACTTCGCATTCAAGATCATCCATTTCTTATTTTGGCCGTAAAAGCGTTTGCAAAATTTATCAAGCATTACAATCAATTACTAACGATAGGTTCATTTGACAATATGAGTGGCATCGACAAGACAATCTTATTTCATTTTTGTCAGATACCAACGAAGAAGAGCTTCTTGTCGAGCAAAAATAATTCGACTCTAGGCGAACAATCAGTTTAAGTTGGTCGACGTGCATCAACAACCGACTATACTAAATATATCGATCAGTCCAATTCAATTTGAGCTTCGCAGAATTTCTTTGAACAACATACATCTTTTTTCTTTATAAAATCTACTTCAATACTTTTGTTTCATGTCAGTATCAATCATTTTGAATTATTCTTTTCAGACAGGAAAAGTATGGATGCTGTTCGAGAGGAAATTCACACTGACACACCTTTATTTTAATAGGTAACAAATTCGACTTTATTCAATGTTCACTATTAGTTTTTCCGCTTGCATACGGACGATGCTATTCATCGATATAAATCATATGAAAGAGACTTCCATTATCATAGAATCTTTCGACAATATTTCTTCTATCTTGCATTGCCTTTCATTTTGACTTCATCGATCTGTTGAATCAAGTTCGCATAAGCGTTATTAAAGTTGAATTTGCTGAAGTCAATACAATGTTTATTAGCTACTATATTATTCAACCATCCAGTTGGACAATATAATTCGTCTAATTTCACTGGAATAATTGATCGCTGCCGTTTTTCAGCATATTCAGCTGCCAATCGACATCCATACGATTCTCGATATTCACTTGAAAAACATATTAGAACTATAGATGATTTTTCCATTGCTTCAGCCATCATATTAGGTAATATTTCATGAGCATGTTCTCTGTCGAAAAAAACTCGATAGAAGCTCGATGCCGTTAAATGATCATAAATTTGACCACAAAGTTCTTTATCACTATAGTGATAACTGATCATTAAATTGAACGTGTCTGATGTTCTGCTATCGGGCAAATCCCAATGGTAGCTAATACTAGTTTGTCGATGAATAGTTTGTTTTTCGTCATGTTCTTGTGTCTGTTTTAAAATGAAGTTTTTCTCATCTTCCATTTTCCACTGAATACGATTTGCGATTGGTCCTAAAATTGGATCGTTTGTTAGAGATAAATGTTTGACATGGTCTATCAATTTATCGTTGTCGTTAATCTTCTCACAAGCACTCTCGTTGCCAAACAATATTGCTTCGATAATTCGTAAGGCCGGACATTGGATGGTTTCAAAGTTTAGGCTTTGATCAAGTGCACATCTTGCAAGCAACGATATACCGTCATCATTATTGGCAATTTCGTTTTTTATGAGATCATTTTGAGCAATGACTAGAGTAAAAAACAAAAAACAAAACAGTGAAATCTTGACTAATTTGTTTTAGAACTAGTATATGAAGATTAATAGAGATTGAATATCAAGCAATATTCATGGGACTCAGTTTATTAAGTATAGGTCAAAAACTTCTCTTTCTTAAGAATATCAAGAAAGTGCACATCTATACAATCTATTCGTACTGCAATTCGATAATTTATCAGTTTAAATCTAAATAAGAAAAAAACTTATCCAAGCACTAATTGTCTCTGAATGCTTATTTTCTAAATTCTAATCTGCTTACCGGTAAGTAGGAACAACGTGTGCTATGTTGTCAAATTCTGGAGATTAGCAAGTCTACTTGGATTCGAACTGTTACCAATTTCAACATAGAAAAAGCGAAGAGAAAACAGCGGACTTCAAAACTTCATGGGACTTTACAACTGGTGTCTCTGCTATTCCCTCCTCGAGAAAAAGGGTGGTTACTTTTTAGATAACTTTGTGAAATGCAATATGAAAATAACACGTGTAAGTTTATATCCAAAACTTTTCTGCTCTCCCTCCTTACAGACATTGGGTATTACATTTTCTTACCTGTAACTGCGACACTGTACTGTTTCTTTTTGTGCCTGTTGTTTAAACCCTATCAAGTGGCATTTCTCTCCTGCATATTTCCGCAAAAAGCAAGCGATCAGATTCGTTCGACGAACGGATGAGGAAATCCTTTGAAAAGTTCAACCCGATTTTGAGATTTTTCACTTATTTCATCTTTCCTAACTGACTGATGAATAGTAAATGAAAAATTCAATGTGAGATTTCGATTTCCATCCTCCATTCGAAGGAACATGAAAAGACTAACATAAAGCCGTGTCTACAGCATTGCATGCCTTCCAAAACATCATGAGTTCTTCTGATCGAAATTGTGCATCGGCTTCGTAAATGTCATGATAGATAGAGGCTTGACTGATCGGTACCATTATAATATGTCTAAATCGACATAACAAGCAGTACTGAAACTAAATATCATTGACAAAAAGATGACTGAACACCAACGAGAAATGGCTAGAGTCATCGTTTCAAATCAGAAAGACTTCTAAGATATGGTCAAGTATTTTGTTTGTGAGAAGTAGCGGAATGAATGCAAGTATTGAACCAAAATTAAACAAACCATTATTAACAAAACAAACCAAAAACAAAAATGATCAAGAGCAGCGCAGTAACAATGTAAGAAGAATAAAGAATATCTCAACGATCAACGAATTTAGAAAATATACGAAACAAATAATTAGAGCAAGACGCCTTCGATTCAATCTATTCTCGTTTTTGAAAGAGATTTTTGCACCACTTAAATCTGTCCTCTGTTATAAAAAGTAATTGAATGTGAGTTTCACATTTTAGCCTCATCAACAACTGTGCGGAAAAGTTATTTTTATAGAAAAAAGATACAGCGTTATGGCTTCCTGCCGTTGAAAAAGGCAATAAAAGTCCATTGAATCTTATACTGCTGATATTTTTATTCGTGTTTTTTTAAAGGATTTGTAATCACATATCCTAAAAAAGGCACCGAAAAAGTTGCGGAGCCATGTGTCAATGCTTGTTCGAAAGTTCTAAAACGATTTACAGGCATTCTAACAATGATCAGCGTCAGACTTAAATTTCAAAAAACCTTGGCATGATTCTTTTGAATCATTAAAAACTTGATAGTGAACATTCATCATAATTTAATTAGTTGAGATCGAGGTTCTCAAGAGAAGAAGCATAGCATCTGAACGGGACCAATTAGTTAAATCGAAAAAAAAACTGTTTTTCTATCACATGGTTATATTATTGGTAGAAATTGAACTGAGAATCTGTCCAACATTGCTTTTTGACACTATGTTACAACTCCGCATTAGATTAGTCAATTTTTGAACAGTCGAATTTCAGTATATTTTGACGTTCTATAGATTGCTCTTTCATATGGCAAAATTAATTACGGAGATACGTATTTTGTATTGACTCTGTCTTCTGATTTAATATGCGTAATAGTTTGAACGAACATTCAGTTTTAAAAAGAGTGAAACAGAATTCTACAACAAAAAAATGTTCTTGCTTCCTTCGTAAGACGTACTCTAGGTGCAACAATACGCTTCACATTTCAGTCGCTAAAACTGTTGAAACACTTCTTTTGAATAAACTGAATCATGCATAGTGTTCAATTCTAAGAGCTAATCTCGAATGAAAGTCTGTCTTATATAATCAAACCAAGGCGCACATTGGTGCCGTACATCATACTCATAAAAACAAGCAATCAGTAAATGTTTAACCTGCCAATTACTATTCTTCCTTCATTTTTTTTGTTACTTTCGGTACTTATCTCACATAAGCTTCGTTCCATACTATTGTATGAGTTGTATCCATATATATTTATCTCATTTAACAATTTAAATTTCAAGAGCATACATTCTTACCCATCTCTGACGACAAGTTATGACGGTTTTTTTATCAGGAATAGCTTCTGTTTTCTAGTACTAGTATACATTAGATGTGAATATAATTCCACAGTAGCTGGCCAGGTGATTTTAAAGAACGAACGACCAAAAATACAAAAATTAGCAATCTGAATCTTTGAACAACTCATTATGAGACTCAATATACATATATGAGCGTGGCTATGAAAATTGGCAACAGCGAAATGAACATACGTGTATGTTACAAAAAAAACAATATGGTGGCATATTGTCTTGGAATGTTTTTGAAAGTACTTTTTTACATCATGAGTTCTATAGTAGTATACACTGTAAAAAAAGACGTTAGATAATAAACCTTCAATGGTTTATTATACGTTGTATTTTCATAAACGCTTTTCGTAGAGTTTACTAATCTACGACTTTTTTTTTCTATAGTACATATCAATGCCAACGTTTTGATTATTGCTCTTTGTTCCTTCCTCAAAAACTATCAATAACTCACTTAATGGAACAATTCTGTTCACATAATTCAACTGTTTCAAAGGAATCATCTGAGCAATTTACTGACTCAAATGTACCATTCGTTACGTCTCTGAGAAGTGCTAATAGTGCCGATTACGCATGCAAATCTAGTTGAATGGCCTATTTTTTTGGCATCGCAGAGAATTCTATATTTTTCACTTTTTATCTAAGAATTTTTTCTCGCGAATTGCCTATGAAAAGTAGTACTATTTCGAGTGAGAATGAATGTTGTGATGGACCGCAACAATTCTTAAGCGATTTTTATTTTCTCGAGCCAGGGTTTAATCATTACTCCTTCGAAATAGCTCTATATTTATAGTGCACTATCAATTCGCATGAAATTTTTTTGTTGGAATAAAGTGATATTTATAGCAAAGTTCGTACCTTCAAGGTTGGCCAATACATCATCTAACTTTATTCCATGATATGTTAGCGATAGTTCATTCATTGTATTTTCTATAAAGAACAAATAATTTTGTGCCATATCTAATGGATTGCTGATTTTATCAATATTCTCTTGATTCAATATCGCAGACAATGTTTGTGATGTAAATTGTATTGTTCTATTTTTTGCCTCATGTAATTTTGCACAAATTCTTCCGAATTCTTTCTCTTTCAGTAGAGAAAAAATTTTCTCTTCGAACATCAAATTATACAATAGTGTTATTGACCATGACATAAGATCAACATCAGCGTGGAATAATTCATGGTTTTTATAAACAGTTGCAACTAGTGATTCTGTACGTAATATGTTAATCATTTGATCAATTATTGGTTGATGAACATCTAAAACAGAAAACATCATAACTCTTATAAAAATGATTAATATTCAATGTATTCAAAAACTACTAAGCACCAGCCAATTACAATAACAGCATTTGTATGAATTCCGACCTAGTCGATGGTTCAGTTAGCTTAATCATCAGAATAGAGTATCTACTTGGGTTCTGACCTGATTTGAATCAGCTAATCAAAAAGAACTCTCCAAACTCGCCAAATTACCTAGTGAGCCTACTAATTAAGAGGATCGTTTTAATATTTGTAACAAAAAATTAGGCAAGTAGAATGTTAACTTACGCGAAACAATTATCAGAGAACCGAAGTCAAATTTACTGGACGTCAAACAACGACTATCTCCTTACTCTTTCGAGACTAAATCAGGTTCTAGCAACAAGAACTAGTTGGTAGCAATGTTGCGAATACTACATATAAGTAAGATCCATACACTTTATCCATAAGAAAATTTATATACTTGAAAGATCTTTCATTCGAGCAGAGACTATTACAAGTACATTTTCTATGTCCTACTCTGTTTGTCTCGTCCTATGAAAAAGGTAAAGTATGGCTCTATAACGGTCTCTGCATTTTGTTTCCGCATTGCGCAATAGAATTTTAACATTGCGTGTATTAACAATTACAGGGTAGTTATGTATTATCACCTTGTTGCTCTATCTCTGATCTACTTCAGAAAGCAACAAAGAAGCTGAACTAAGCTCATCTTTGGCAATATTCTGCTCATGCTACTCTTGTTGGTCCTCTTAGAAGTTCCAGAACGTTCGAATGAGTTGTTGAATCTCATAAAGATTTTCTACAATTTAATAGAGATTCTTTTGAAAGCCACCAAGTATGTTTCTAGAAATCTTCAGA